TTTGTTCATCTACATGTGGTGTTCTGTTGTCATCTCCATAGTCATAATAGTATGGTGCTGGAGCTGGGTCAGGCAATGTCATATCTGTCATTTCATAAACTCGGAAATATTTCTTTTGTTCGTCTCCATATAAGTTTAAGTAGCAGTTGTTGTCTAATGGAACTTTAACTTGTGTACCATCGTTCTTTTTATAGCTTACATACATTTCATTGTTATTTTTCGGAATGAGTTTATACCGTATACCATTTTTTAAGGAATGTACAAACTGCCATCTAAAATATTTGTTTTCTTCATTGAAAGAAAAGTCACCAACAATAGTTTCAATATTTTTTGTTCCAACTAAACTTTGGTATATTTCATTGACATATGTTTTATCTGCTTTATTTTCAAGGCTAACGTTTAAGTCTGTTATTTCAGAAGATGTATGTGTATGTCCAACGGCACTTTTCCTGTTTAAGGTTTCTTGTAAGTTTGTAATATTTGCAATGGTATGTGTATGTCCAACGGCACTTTTCCTGTTTAAGGTTTCTTGTAAGTTTGTAATATTTGCAATGGTATGTGTATGTCCAACGGCACTTTTCCTGTTTAAGGTTTCTTGTAAGTTTTGTAATATTTGCAATGGTATGTGTATGTCCAACGTCACTTTTACTGTTTAAGGTTTCTTGTAAGTTTGCAATATTTGCAATGGTATGTGTATGAGTCTTTTTAGAATATTCGTTTTCAGCTCTTGTCACTTCACTTGACATTTTATTGTCAACATATGTTTTGTCTGCTAGTTCAGGATGAGTATGTTCTTTTGTTGCATAAGCTTTGTCAGCTCTTTCTTCTTCTTTTGCTATTGCATCGTCTACATATTCTTTGTCAGCTTTGTTGCCAACATCTGCTTTCAAAAGAAGTTCATTTATAGGTTTCTCGTTTAAAGTTCCTTTTGTTGGATTTATACAAACAGTATGGTTCTTATTGTCTTGAAACAGAAACTCATCTGTCATTGGGTTTAATGTCAGTTTTAAGTTTCCTTCTTTCAATGACTCAGATATCTTAGAATAGTTTGAAAAGTTTGTTGTGTTCTTATTTAGAGCTTGTATAATGAGTTGTCGGTTGTGTTGTATTTCTCTCATAGACGCTGTTTCATTTGACATTTTTATTCTAGATAAAATATGCTTTCAATAGAAAAAGAAAATTCAAGAGTTGCTACAACTAAACCATTAGATGAACTTTTTACGAATGTCGGTCAAAAGTTTGAGACAGAGACCGTAAAGCATGAAGGCTATCGTTTTGACTACCCGTTAAGATGGTTAAGAGACCCATCTGTCACAAAAGCTATTGGCTTTCGTAGAATGAAGTTCATTTCAGAAGCCATACATGGTTTCCCATTTACAGTCGGTTTTGAAGTTCGATACTATAACAAAGAAAAACATACGTATGAGAAATTTGAACAGGGAAAACTTTTACAAGTTAGTTTGCTTGTAAACTTAGAAACAACTCTTCAAGCTTTTCAAGAAAAAATAAACGACATCTATATCGAATATGCAAACCAGTATAACATTGACGAGGGAGAGTACCATCTCGATATTATATATGACAGGAAAAATGCAACTGTTAAAATCAATAGAATAGAAGACCTTGGAGAAAACGTTATATTTCTACAAAATATAACAACTTGGCATGGTATAGATTTCTGAGGATGTTAAATCAGCCTGCAGCATATCCAGTACACCCGGACTTTTATGAAGTCGAAAACCCTAATGGAACATATGAAAATGTTTTCGACTCAGATGCTATTATAGTTCATGCTTCATTTTCTGGTGCACAAAACTCTTTTTTATGCTTGGCAAATGACTTTTACGAAAAACCTACAAAGCTATATGAACCACCAAGTGGAAGTATTTCAGACTTTCAAGTATGGTTTACAACAGATGGAAGAAAGAGAATAATTCCATTATACCATGCGTTTTACTTAGAACTTAGTTTCATATACAACTACTATCGAACGGTAAAAATATAATTTTTTAATACGGTTGAGGTGTTGGATTTGGTTGCCAACTTGACTGTGGTGCAGGTTCAGGCTGTTGTATAACAGGAGCTTGTTCTTCTGGTTCAGGGTCTTTAGGTATAATACCAACAAACTGACCTACCCTTTTACCAATATTTTTGACTCCGTTCCAAATTCCTCTTCCGACAGATTTTATTCCATTCCATATACCTCTTCCAACTCTTCTGAAGAAGTTTCCAATACTACTGAAGAAACCCATTTACTATATGTAAAAATCTAATGTCCGCCTAGTCTCTTACGTTTCCTGTTGAGTTCCATAGCATTCTTTAACTGGAGCTCATACATTCTGTTTCTCCTCTGGTAGAAAACATATTCTGGGTCAACTCCTGTGTTCGCGTCATCTGCATAGAGTTGTTTATATCCCACTTCGGGTTTGTATAAAACTCTTTCCATCTCATATTTGCATACCATGGTGGCAAACCTAACGCAGCGTCATTTGACATGGCAGTTTGCATTTGTACATCTGTTGGCACTTGACCATAGTTTGCCATTGCAGTTTGTATTCTAACTTCATTTGGAATATTCTCTGGGTTTGGTTGTCCAGGTTGCTGTGCATTCGCTAAGTTCTGTGCGTCCATTTAATATTAGATAAAAATATCTCTTACGAGTACATATACTGGACATTTGCAGGCATTGGTTCATCTTCATATTCTCTATATCTTTCTGCCACGTCAAATAAATAAATGACACAATGGAAAAAACCTAAAACAAGTAGTCCTATTTCAAACCACATTTACTTACTAATAAAATTTCTTTGTTATGACACTTTCTCCGGTTTATAGGACCTCTCTCATATTCTATCTTGTCATATCTAAACTCATAGTCATGTATGTCCTCTAACCATCTCATAACGGTTTCCAAACCACTTTTATCGGATGTAAAGTAAAAGCATGGATGGTTATGTATAACGTCTAAAGTTTCTAAAGAGTCTCTCAAAGTCCAGTCTACTTGGTATTGAAAATCGCATGTGTTATAGAACGGCGGGTCCACTATAAAAAAACATTTTCCTTGTCTTTATATTTTTCATACAACTCTGTCCAACGACATCTCACAAACTCTATACCCTCAATATATTTTCTATGTCCTCTTTGAAAACATTTGTATAGTTAAGATATAAAACGTTTGACATAAGTGTTTCAATGTCATGAACTCTTATAGAACCACTATATAATAGTCTAGCAGATATACTATCCCAGTCTATATATTCTGCTTTTTTCAAAACCTCTCTCACAATATTTTTCTTATCTAATGGTATACGTTCCATCTTACCTATAGGTATCTTTTCTTTTAACTCTTTCAATATATTGTTTGTGTCTGGTATATGTTTGAGACGGTCCATATAGTTGTCGAAGTCATTGCATATAATCTTTGAGTCTGGGAATATTGTATGGCACAAATGGGATATATAGAAACTTCCACCGAACAAATCTACAAATGTTAGACCATTCGGTAGTTTCTTAAGTTCTCTCAATATAATATCTTTACATCTACTCTTATTTCCAAAGAACGGTAACGGTGGTTTTGTAAAATTCATTTTATATATATATAATAAAAATGTTTTCACCTGAAAAGTGACAGAAAAGTGACAAAGCATGAAAACATATATAATTTGTGAAAAGTGAAACAAAAAAGTCAACGGCTGGTCGGCTGGGGTTCGGTCCTCCTCTTGGGTCTTGGGAAAAATTTCTTATGGGCTAGAGGGCACGAAGTGCCTGGAGGCCCATCCCAAGAAAAAAAAACTTCAGGGCTAGAGGGCGCAACGCGCCTGGAGGCCCCACTACCCTTTTTTTTTTTTTTTTTTTTTAATTCTATTAAAATGGATTTGATCCAAAAAAATATATAAAATTTGATCATAAATAAAATTGTTTTAAATTACTTCTTCATTTAAATTATAACAATTATTTTTGATTTTATATTTTTTGGATCAAATCCATTTTAATAGAATTTATATACTATTCATCTATTAGTAAACACTACCGTATATTATTTTTTAAGCTATCTTATTTTTTGAAATTTTATTCAAATCTTTGGTCGCAAGAAGAATTGCATGATAAATAAAAACATTTAATCAAAGTCAATTTTATTTTTCATATTCAAATGGACTGAGTGTTAACATTTAACATTTTTTGCTAATTGTCGTCAAAAATTAGGCGTAAAGCAAAAATTGATATTTCATATGGTTTTATGATAGATAAGCATTATATTCCCACTCATTATATTCGTAAATTTTGAGGTTTATCCTTCGCTTTTAAGATCATTGAATTTGATTTTATATAAAATAGTTATATATTAGAAAATAATATGAGTTTATGTGATATTATTTTTCAGAAGATTTTGTGTTCTTCTTCAAAATTTTATTTTTTTATTAAAAAGAATCTTTACAAAATATACATTTACTTTAATTAATATTTAAAAACGTGCTCTATCAAAAGTTCCAAAAATTCAATATTTTAGCTTTTCTGAGGTGTCACTTTTGATGAATTTCTGTTTACAACAAGACAAATAACTAATAAGATATAAGTATGAGGGAAAATAAGCGAAATGCGATAAAATTTGAGAAAGGGACAGACTAGCCCATTGTCACTTTTTAATTTAGTAAATGAACGCTTATGGAGTGGAGTTTTTGGGTAAATCTGATTTGCTTATAAATGAAATAAAATCAAAAGAAACCATATTGGCATTATATTATGCAAAAATAAATGATCTTACTTAGTACTTTTAAAGTTAATTTCAGAAAAAATTTGACACAATGGTATCCGGCACATACAAGTGGTGTACAACCAAAATTTCATATCCCTAGTTTTACATTTATGTTTAGTTTTATTTCACCTAATTTTCAAAGATCATAATTGAATTAGATGGCCAAGCTATTCAAAACACGACCAAGCTTATCAAAATAAGACCAATATATTCAAAATTCTTTATTCTTTCAAATCATTTCATTTTAATGCAGATCCAAGATCACGAACTCACATATATCGAGTTGCTTAAGTATCGAGTGCAACAAGAAATCCAAGCAGGTTGTAGTTATTCATATAAAACTAGGAAAGAAAGAAATCAAATCCAATTTAATTGTAAGTGGCCGAATTGTCCATGTCGCTTCCTTGTTGATACACTTCCCGATGACAAGTACCACATACGAAAATGTATTAACACCCACAATCATTCTGCCCCTTTTCCAAACAAATCACAACAAATTACATCATATTTTTATAGATCTTATTTAACAAGATATTTTGAATCAAATCAAGACCGTGTTTACGCACAATTAAGGTGTTTCAAAGATCTTAATATCCCATTTGATAGTGGAATCATTCCGGAAATGTTTCAACAATCTACGGATGCTTTAAAAAAGTTTTCTAAACGCCTTCATGCAATCAATACCCGTTTCTCAGCGGATGATGTTACATCTCTTGCAATTTTTGTCGACATGGTTAAGAGTCATTCTCCAGATGATCTCATCGAGTTTAATTAGTATGGTTATGTTGGGTACTGAGGCAATGCGTTCCACCTTACCCAAGTTAACGGTTTGACACTTCACGAAACCGTTAACGTATATTTTACAACACAAACGACAACACTAACTTAACCTTAAATATTTACAAAGCCGCCAACCACTTCACTAACGAACTCACTAATGTAAAAAATAAACGTTCTCACTATCGTTCTCACTAACGACTTCACTAATGTTCTCATAAATTTTCCTCAATATCTTCATCATCAGTGTTAACCCTATTGTAGTCATACTTGAAGCCATAAACTTTCTCTAACTTCTTAACGTACAATTTACATAACTTACCTTCGTCATCGTATGGTTTAATGATATAACTATTTCTATCTTTATACACAGTCAATGAAAAGTCAACTGGTCTCGGATGTATTTGAAAAACATGTTATGCTCAGGAAGGAAGAATAAATGTTTAAATGTATGTTTGTTATACTGTGGAATTCGAATGAGTTGCTTTTGTTCTGTCATTTACATCCAAATAAAAATTTTCAGTAAAATAATAAAATAAACTTAAAAATTAATGATATCACCACCCTCACACGTATGAAAACATAGCACAAAAATAATGTTTATGTTAGAATGTTAGATCTAACACGTTTTCTAACCTCTTTTCTAACCATGTTGAATTCATTACTTTATAACTCTCTTCCTTGGTTTCTTTTTAGTTGCTTTCTTCACGTCTGTCTCCAGCTTAACTGTCTTTCTTCTTCGTCCGTAATGATACCAGTTACTTCCACCAGTCAATGGGTCAAATGGTCTTTCGTAAGGGTTTCCATACATTCCATAGGGACCATACGGAAGAACTACTGGTGGAGAAGAAACATTTTCTTTAGTTCCATCGACTCTATTTAAATGCATTGTTTCACCTTTCATCTGGTCATTAAAGTCTTTTGCATGTTTTGCAAACTCATCGTCCTTTCCTAAAGCATTTTCTGACTCAGTCGCAACCAAATTGGATGCTTTATTTATGAGCCCTATTTTATTTAATCTTAACTTCTTTGCAACCCAGCCTCCAATCTTTCCTTTATTTGCATCTAATGTCTTCGAAACTCTTCCTCCACTCATTTTATTTACTGCGTCATAAGCCCCAAGTGCTTTTGCTCCAAATGCTAATGCTTTTGTTCCCATTGCGCCTAAAGCTGCCCAAGCTACCATTTACACCATATTAAAATCATCTCTCTTCAATATTATCTCATAAAAGTTCTCTTTACTGGAGAAAGTCAATGAAACATAAACATTCTCATTCATAAACTTCTTTCTTATCTCATCTATACGCTTCAAAATGTCTGAACAATTGCTAACATCTTCTACAACAGTTATTTCATCATGAATGACCTTTAAAAACAAGCTCATTTAATATGCTATTAAAATCATCTCAATAATGAGTCCATCCTTTCCGTCTTTGGGTAGCACAACATCTTTCATTGAAGAAGGTTCAACAAGTCTTATATTAAACTTACTGACAAAGTTTGTTATACTATAATGCTTCGGCGGCGAATACATATAGTTTGAAAGACATAATATAGATTCTTCAGCAAATTCACTTATACTGGATTTTATAACAATGTTCTCACGAGACCAAATACCACCAATTGACAATCTTGTAAGCAATCCTGCTGAACCTTCTACTGTAAACGTCGATGGTAACATTCCACGAAGGTCATCTATTGACATCGTTTGAGTCACTGAATTTAAATATTTTCTTAAAGCAATCGTCATTATCTAACCATGCAATAGCTTTGAAGTTTTCATTCGAATATACATCTGCTTCATTAAATGTAAACCTGACTTCTTTGCAGAGACGACTTTAAAATCTATTGCATTTGTTTCAAAATTATACGCTATGGTAACTTCTGAAGGTAATGGGTGTCCTTCCGCAGTCAGTTGTTCTCTCACTACCGTTTGAAGCTTTGTGTTAAAAACTTTCATGTCATCTCCTGTGTCTAGGTTCACATACACAGCAATAGGAAAACTATCTTGCTTCTTTGTCTCATCATTATATCTCAAAACATTAAAGTTCTTCAATAATATTGTCCTTCCTGCTGGAATACTTCTAACTTTCTTATTTCAATAGCTTTCTCACCTCCTACATACTCTACCCAGTGTCTTGGATATTCATAAGTATACTGACTTTCTTGAATTTTGGTTGGTTTCATCATAACGTGTTCATAGTATATCTTTATACTCTTGTCAGTTAGACTCGGTGCTATGTTCTGAATATTTCTGACTTGCATTTTTAATGGAGATAAAATGAAGCATTTAATACATGACGTAGATGAAGACATGAATGAAACTACAGACAAACTTAACTCTTCTCTTATTCTTCCTTTCAGTAAGGACTATGAGTTCTGTTCAAATGGTGTTTATTTCTATTGTGGAAAGATGGGGTCAGGTAAGACATTTAACCTCATTCGTCATATACTCATAACAGAGCGTTTAGGTCAAGATTCATATTATGACCAAATCATTATATCAGCAACTTCAGACTCTATGGACTCAACAGCGAAAACATTTATGTCAAAAGTTCAAGCCTCTGTCGTTAAAGTTCCAGATAGCGAACTCATTGAATTTCTTCAACGTTACATTCGACGTAAGAGGAAATATTATGCCATCGTTGAATTTATACAGTCAGGAATGCAAAAGACTTCAGAAGAGATGGAAAGAATTATTGACAAACACCACTTACGTCAATACTCAGGAGTTTACGATATGAAACGACTTACAAACTACATTCTGTCAAAACTTTCAAAATACCCCTTCAAAAAGTATCCTTCAAACACTCTGCTCGTTTGCGACGACTTCGCCGGAAAAGGTTTAGTGTCAAAGCCTGACTCACCATTAGCTAACATCATTACTAAAGTCAGACATTACCACTTAACTGTAGCAATACTTATGCAAACATGGAGGTTTTTAGCTTTAAACATAAAACGTCTCATAACTGACTTCGTTATCTTTCAAGGTTTCTCACGCTATGATATTGAACTCATTTGGAAACAGTCAGGTATAACATTACCTTTTGAAGAAATTTGGGAAGCATATAAGTCTCTCATCTCTCCTCGTTCATACCTTGAGATTCATATCATGACTAATACCATTAAAGTCAAAAATATTCCATGGGAACGACCAACATTGTTTTAAAGTTTAACCTTCAATTGACTGATGGTAAACAAATTCCATGCATCTCTGTCGCCATTTCTGTTAATATTTTTGCTGTCATTCATATCATCCACTTCCCCATCCGTTAACTTTTGAGGATATGCGTTAGAATAGCTGTTCTTAAATGAAGGCTTTTCACCTTTTAGCGCATAAACTCTATAACTTTCTGCATACTTTATGTTTGAACCTCCTGAGCCATCATTGACATAAATTTTTATAGGCTTCCACCCTTTGTTCATGTTCCTGCTTCTTCCCTTAGCTCTTTTGTTCAGTAGTTCTACATCTTTATACACAGCACCTGTCTCAGTGAATTCAACAATATTTTCATTCGTTAGCTTTACATTCAAACCCTTGTCGAGTATATTGTTCATTTCATACATATAAAAGGTTTTTATTCTATATGAAATGAGAAGCAAATCCATCTTAGCTGGTGCCGTTAATGTTCCAATTGAACCAACATCAAATGTTGACTCACGAACGACAAACAATATTGTCATAAAGAACTATAGTTCGGAGTGTTTGAAAGAAAAAGAACCAGAACTTAAGTCGGGAGGGCTCAAAGAGCCCATCTTGGCGCATGGCGCCGTGAATTTAAACTCAGCTTCAAACGCTAACGCTACATCAGATGTTAAGTTAGAGTATCCACCACTGGACCAAATTCTTTCAAGAGAAGCCAACGACAACCCTTACACAAATGTTCAAACAAATCCTTCAGATAACGTAGACCATTACCTTCTTCAGTTATATCAAACTATCTTACTCAAAGACGATAAGAAGCTTTTGACAAATCTTATAAGCAAGAACCAAATAATTCTAACAAAGGAGGACCTTGAAAATGTTATATCACGAATAACAGGGAAACAATGTGTCATTGACTATCTCGACCCTGAAATCGAATGCTGTGGTCAAACGCCACCATTCATGAAAATAGGTAACATCCGCATCATTGAAATACCAGGTACTCCAGGAGTTGAGTTTAAGTATAAATATTCGAACGAGTATACAAAACTTTCAACAGAATATAAATTATGTTTGAAATATGTTTTAGTAAATTAAAGCAGTCAGGAGGGCTCTTTGAGCCCATCTTGGCGCTTTGCGCCGTTAGTCAAAAAAATTTCAAGTTAGCAATTTGTAATATCTATCCAAAACTTCTTCAACAGTATCGAACTCATCTTCATAATGCAAACCTAATCTTATTGACTTGGTGCAGTTCTCACTAACACAATATAGCGCTTTGCGCTCGGCGCCTTTGACGCCTTTTTCTGTTCTCTTGACTGACATAACTAACTCATTTGTTTCATCAAACAGCAACAACCAAAGTTCATGACCTAATACATAACATTCATACTTTATATTTTTAGCTCTGAGTTCTCTTGTAAGCTGTTGCATTTAATATTTTCTAAAAAGTCTACTTCAACAGTCATTCGCACTGGTGCCTTCAGTTCTACAGGCTCTCCTTGAAAGTCAACTAGTCTGAATTGCATGTCTTTCAAATTATGAGGACTAATGCGAACCCATTTACCTAAATGAGTTGCTATGACAGGAACGTTTGGAATGAACATTGAATTTACTTCATAACAGAAAGACTTATATTCTACTGAACCTTTACTATTAACTCCTGAAATACCTGTGACATTAGCTATTTTTGACTCAATGTATAAACAATTGCCATAACATACGTATGGAACAGATTTCATCTCAATCGTTTTGTCAATACTTTTCAAAGGAAATGTCATATGGTATGCTCCCAGAAGCAATTGAACTCTATGACTCATTCGTGTTATCTTAAACTCCTTCGCATAACTGAACTTCAAAACTCCTGCAATAAGTTTAACATTCATTAAGTTTTCTTCGTTCTCCTTGTTTATTGTAGTATTTATGAGCGCATTTAACACTCCAGCTAATGTTTCCATCTTATATTCTACATTATTGTGAAATCTTATTTCATGCTTCTTTCCATCTATTTCAAACTCCATGAAATCTGTTTCATCTGTTATGACAAAAGTTGCGATAGTATTGAAGTCAACAACTCTGAAAGCAAGCGCTTCATTCTGAAGACCTAAGTTTGTTTGTAGCTTTACTGTTCCGTATTCGTTTGGGTCAGTACTTTGCAAATAGAACAACATTTTATTCTCATTAAAATATGACTATTGCTGCATATGCGTATGAAACAAATGAAGCAAGAAGAGCACATGAACTAGTAAACGAAAACTCAACTTTAACCATTGAAGGCAATGATTTAGTCATTGACGATGGAAAAACTAAAAAAGTCATTGATTTCGATACTTTTAACACTTATGACCCATTCATTACAATAAGTAAAGTTCCTATCATAAATGATGGAACGGTGCAATATATAAATTCTACAGTAGATGCCTCATTAGTGAAAGTACTGAATGTTCTCATTGAATTGTTAAAGAGCTTTCGATTTGACGACAACATTAAATGCCTAAAGAATTTAGTCATGAATGAGAAACAAATATTAGGAGTTGCTGGTAGCAGTAATGATGTACACCTTATGACATTAGAATATTATAACGAACATAAAGATGAACTGAAAGGAGAGAAGGGTGACACCGGACCACAAGGAATACAAGGACCTCAAGGAATACAAGGACCTCAAGGAATACAAGGACCTCAAGGCGAAAACGGTTTGGATGGAAAGGATGGAAAGGATGGAAAAACTGCTAAATCATGGATATGGGACCTTATAAATACTGGTTTAACAGCTGCTTCATATGGAGTTCTTCAATACCAAATCGGAAAGATATGGGCAGTACTTGGTGAAGAAGCTTTAGATGATGTTAAAAATGCTTTGAACTTCATTTCAAATGGTTCGGATACTATTAAAACTTTATCTGGTTGGATGCAAGAAACAAGGAGTCAAATAGATACTGTAAGACGTATAGCAAACAATGCACGTACGGGATTGGATACTTTACGAAAAGCACAAAATACACTAAAGGAAGCAAATGATATTCTTGGCTCAGTATCAGACATGCATGAAGATTGGCTTAAAGGTATTGACAAATCTTTAAAAAATCACAGTCAGTCTATTGCTGACTACAAGAAAAGTATAGATTTTTTACATAGTGCTATGGACGTACATGATGGAAGCATAAGGAACTTACTTAATGCTAACAATAACTTACCAGGAACTATTAAAGCATTTATAAAGTCCTTTGTAAAACCCGGTGCTCTAACATTTAGGTCTTTGAGAGCAAGAGCATTGAAGTCAAGAGATGCAGAAACTCCAACAGAAACTCCAGAAGGAACTGAAACAACAGAAACTCCAGAAGAACCACCAAAACCAACAGCTAATGAAATATTGTTCGAATATTTTCCAAGGTACTCTGTTCTCATTGCATACATTCAAGAAATACTTAAGAAAGCAGACTTGACTTTAGGAGATGATGAAAGTTCTGTATATCTTTCGTTCCAATTCCAAATAGCAGAACTTTTGAGACAGATATGCTTAATGTATGACAACATCTCTGATTTCACAAGATATGACGACGACCATGACCCCGAACACGGTGAAGAAGAAGTTTTACAAACATCCATTAAGACAGGAAAGGTTTTAACTCAAAGTCTCATTATTGACACCAAAGATGGCGAAGTGGACGTTCTTCAAGAGCTGAAGAAAAATACTTCTTCGGGAGGTGGTGGTAGGCATGAACTTGAAATAAATGAGATAGAAGAGAAATTAGCCGAAAAAGCAGATAAAGAACATAAACACAATATCTCCGATATAAATGAACTTCAAGCTACATTAAATAGTAAAGCGGACAAAAATGAACTTGACGCAACGAACAAAGTTTTGAAATCTCATAAACACAATATCTCCGATATAAATGAACTTCAAACTTCTTTAGACAATAAAGCAGACAAAAACCATGTTCATTATATAAGTTCTGATGAACAGATTATAACGGACTATCATGGATATTTAACACAGGGTGAAAAAGTGAATACGAAAAATGTTAATGAAAGAAGATATAAATTCATTCGTGCTAAAGGTTATGACATACACTGTACTGTACAGTATGACACAGGTATAGCACCACAATCATTTGGTTATAACGCTGAAATTTATGCTTCATACTTCTTTGTTAACGGTGTATTAGTTGAACCAAGATTTACTTTGAGAGTTAAGTCAAAAATAACTTTTGAAGATGCTATTAAAAGTAAAGCTGACAAAACAGAACTTGACGCAACGAACAAAGTTTTGAAATCTCATAAACACAATATCTCCGATATAAATGAACTTCAAACTTCTTTAGACAGTAAAGCCGACAAAAATCATACACATAAATCCTTCACTACTGTTAGAGCAGACGACATAATATTGAACTATGATTTGGGTTCAAGTGCACCTTTAGAGAATCCGAGTACAAGCGTAAAAGATACTCTTAACAATTTAGATAAGAGTTGCAGGAATATCGAAGGTCATGCCAGAAACTTTGAAGCATATGAACTACCAGCAATGTTAGACAGTAAAGCCGACAAGAACCATACACATAAATCCTTCACTACTGTTAGAGCAGACGACATAATATTGAACTTTGACCTTGGTTCAAGTGCACCATTAGAAAATCCAAGTACAAGCGTAAAAGATACTCTTAACAATTTAGATAAGAGTTGCAGGAATATCGAAGATCATGCCAGAAACTTTGAAGCATATGAACTACCAACAATGTTAGATAAGAAAGCAGACAAAACAGAGCTTCAAACATTAAAGACAGAAATACTTCAAACATTATATCCTATAGGCTCTATTTATACGTCAATGAATTCAACAAATCCAGAAACAGTTTTAGGTTTTGGTATGTGGGAGCAGATTGTAGATAAATTCTTATACTGTGCGAACTCTTCAAAGCAAACAGGAGGTTCGAAGAAAATTACTGAAGCAAACCTTCCACCGCACACTCATACAGGAACTACAAACACAACAGGTAGTCATTCACATTCAATAACAAAAAGAGGTTATACAAATCTTGCAGCAGGTTCGGATAGACAGGGAATGCATAGATATGATATTTCAAGTGACCCAGTAGATTCAAGCACAGGTATTTTCTGTGGAACCACAGGAAATCATTCACACACTTTCACAACAAATCCAACAGGCTCGGGTGAAGATTATATGCCACCATTTGTGACTATATTCGCATGGTACCGCGTTCAATGAACGCGCTTGAGCCTAGAATAAAATCTTTAACTTTACATAAATGAGCTTGAAAGAAGTATTCGAACAACATCCATGGAGGTCTTTTAAGAAATTCAATGAAGCTGCAAAGAGTTCGGGATTTACTAACAGAGCTGAAGTGAAAAGGTTCTTTGACAAAAATGTTGTACATCAAACAAAAATAAATCCTTACGACTACTTTTTACCAATTTACTCCAACACTCCTGACGCATACCAATTTGACACTCTCATTCAAAGCAGAAAAGGAGGACATAAACCATTCCTCATCTTCATTAATGTTAACACTCGCAAAGCTTTTGCGTATATAATGAGAAATAAAGGAACTCATGAAGTGTTAAGAGTTTTACAAAAGTTTGTAGCAGAACATAGCCCAAGTATTTAACATCAGACCAAGACGTGCATACCTCAGCAACGAAATCACAGAATTTCTCATTAAGCATAACATAACTCACTACACTACTGAAGACCATAACCATAACATACTCGGTATCATTAACCGCTTCATAAGGACTCTCAGAGATTTAAATCAAGAGCGAGACTTTACCGAAGAAACAATGAAACATTTCATCGAAGTTTACAATTCCTCAACACATTCTACAACAGGACATACACCAAATTCAATGACACAACAACAAGAAGAAAAGTATATACAAAAGAAACGAAGTCAAACACAAAATATCAGAAATTCAACACAATTTACTCTCATTCCTGGAACAAAAGTTCGTGTAGTTCTTGACGACAAACCGTTGACAAAGAAACGTTTAAGGTTAAGTCGAAATTATTATATCGTAGACTCTACGCAAGGTAATGGATATCTTATAAAAGCTGCTGACGACTCCATAGCATTTTACCCTCGTCATAAATTAGTTGAAAGTAGTAATGGCGAACTTGCTGAAACCATTGACGAAGCAAAGCGAGGAGTGGTTATTGAAATACTTGACTACAACATAAACGATGACACTTATAAAGTAAGATATGAAGGAGGCGTTGAAGATGTTATACCATCTAAGAACTTGAGAGAATCTAAACCAACTCATCTGGGACCATTAGAGCGGGAGTACTGGAAAGATAAAAACATGCCAGAAAGAATAAGAAAATTCTTCTAAACTTTTTCGTTGGATGTAAATCAGACAAAAATATATTATAGGTGAAGAGGTGAGATTTCACCTGTTTTCTCACCTGTTTTTTCACCTCTTGAATTTTCGTGAATTTCCTTAAGATAGAAAAAATAAAGTTAGTTTTATTTTTATTTATTTTTTATTTTGTATGTAAAGACAATAATGTCAGTCGAAGCAAAAACATTCACGAACAAATCTAATGGTGAAACATTCACAAAAGGCACTTATAACGGTATTGAAGTCTTACGTAGAGACAAGGATGGTTACATTAATGCAACAAAGATGGCAAGAGAAGCAGGAAAGTTAAACCATTTAAACAGATTTCTCAATAGTGCTAAAATGCAGGAAATTCTTGAGTTTTGGTTGAAAGAATACGGTCGAGCCAAAAGTGGCTCAACCTCAAAACAAGCATTTTATGAGCTTACTAAGGGCGTTATGAATGAATTCAAAGGTATTTACATACATGCTGACCTCGTTCATTTTGTTGCTGAATGGTGCTCTGTAAAGTATGCATTTTATGTCAAAGATATTATGGACTCCATAGACAAGAAAGTTCATGAGAAGTTAGATGAAGAAGAACTCGAAGATACAGTGGAGAATGCTAAACCTTTGTTCGAAGAAGAAGTTGGAAAAATGTGTGAAAAACAATTAGAACATGAACGTGAGATATATTATGGTTATAGAGATTCTCCATACGAACTAGACCAATGGGAACAAGAAGATTTAAAGAGAGAATTTAGAGAATATGAACTCGCTAAGATAGCATTTGAAGCTGCAGAAAAGAAGTTAAAAGTTTGGGGTCGTTTTGTAAAAAAATATTGTGAGTAAATGAACCATTTATTTTTATTGAATTCACCAAAAAATATAATTTAGGTGAAGAGGTGAGATCTCACCTGTTTTTTCACCCTCGTGAATTTTCGTGAATTTCCTTAAGATAGAAAAAATAAAGTTAGTTTTATTTTTATTTATTTTTTATTTTGTATAAAAGATATGATTTCAACAATCGGCACAACAACAATTCAAGCCGCGAACGGCGGGACTCTGTCCACAACAACTTCACCAAACTCGTTAGTCATGAATCCAACATCTATGTTAGTAGAGATGGAAAGCTTCATTCCTTCTTCATTTACTTTCGAAACAGAAATACAAAAAATTAAGCAGGAACTTTTAACAAGTAATTTAGACTGTAGTGCGAAAGATGAAACAAATGAACAGTATCTTTATGAAATGGAGGACCTCATCGACCATTTACCTAAACTACCTGAAATTCAGCATCAAAAACTAACTATTCCTGAATTCGACGAAATTGAAGTCAAAGCAACTGACTCAGTAGAAATAAAGAAGTTCATACGTAAAGTAAATTATGAATTCCTTGGTTTTCATTGCAACCATAAAGTTATGGACAAAGATTGCGATATGGTATATAAGAATGTTTCTGACATATATAAATCTGAAGAATTTAAGACCTACGACAACTTTGTTTCGTTAGTTGCTGAATGTGTTTGGGAAATAAGAGATAAAGATAGAAGAGGCAAAGTATGGAACGAACAACTAAGACCCGCTATGTTTGAGATGAAGAGAGCAATTGACGCTTTAGTTGTTCTAGCAGGTCAAATTTCAATGTATAATGCAAAAATGAACCCACAATGTTCAAAATGTAAAGCAGCAATAAGGAAATATAACTACTCCGTCAAAGAGATAGAAAGAATGCGAAACGACTATGCAGACTTAAAGAAAGAAGCAGAAAAGCCAGCAGAAGATAAAATGGACATGTTAGCATTTCTGAACAAAAACTATCCAACAGTAGAAGATTTCCTTCTATCTGACGTCAAGAAGAAATATAAAGAGACTTTCGGCATTGTTAAAACTTTTGATATCCTCAGCGAAGAAATAGAAGCTACAAAACTGTTTAGGATTTCAAATATACATCGTACAATTCATGTAAAACGCTTGTGAAAAAAAGAGGTGAAAAATTAGGTGAAAAAAGAGGTGAAATCTCACCTCTTCACCTAAATTATATTTTTGGTCATTTACACTCATTTACGAAGAAGTCATGACAAAGCATTTACGATGAAATCTTGACAAGGCATTTACGAAGAAGTTATGACAAAGCATTTACGAAGAAGTTATGACAAAGCATTTACGAAGAAGTTATGACAAAGCATTTACGAAGAAGTTATGACAAAGTCATGAGGGTGAAAAATTAGGTGAAAAAAGAGGTGAAATCTCACCTCTTCACCTAAATTATATTTTTGGTCAAAGCTTCCACGAGAGAAAAGATTCCTCATTTGCTAAGGATTCCAAAAATGAAAAAATCGTTGATTTCGGCTGAGAAAAAACGGCAAAAACCCTTCTTCCACGGGAACAAAGAAATAAAGAAGAAATAAAGTAAATTTTTTATTTATTCCCGTGGAAGATAGAGCACTTTTATGACACTTTTTATTCACGACAAACAAGACAAATAAAGAAAATAAGAAAATACGGCGCTGTCGCGGTTCGAACCACAGACCCTGACCCCTCCATAACACCACCTTAGACCACTGTGCTACGTAGCCTGTCGACATAAGATTTTATAAATTGCATATTTGACGTAAATTTATTTCCATCTGGCTTCCCACTGCATAAGATATTCATACGTGTTTGTAAGACATTCATTAAACTTCTTTTCTATTGCATCTAATCTTGCGTTATTTTTTTCAATAACTTGTCTGTATTCTTCATCATCTCCAGCAGTGTTTGGGTCTTCACGTTTAAAATATTCATTGTTAACCAATTTTTTATCTACAAATTTTATTAGTGTTTGATTCACTTCGTTATGATAACGGTCATATTCTTTCAATACGTAAGTGAAGACAAAATGCGTCGTACCTTCAATCTTAAAGCTTAAAGAACTTTCAACACAGTTTTGAGGGTCTGTCAGTGCGTCAATGAGATAGTATTCGAAGTCAGTCAATAATCTTTTTAAAGTCATTTCATACAGGATAAAATTTAATGTTGTGAAGAAATAGTGTTTATCTCAAAAAAAATAAAGTTAGTTTTTATTTTATTTATTTTTTTATCCTGTATGTAAAGACAGATATGTCAACATTAGAGAACACAACAACTGCTATCGTTCATGAAGTCATAAATGAAGAATACGAATACATACAGTATAACAAACAATTGAGACTCATTCGTTCTGTCAAAGACGACATGTACCAAATGCAAAGTATTTTGACGGCTTGTTTTGCTCCAGATACTAAGCTTCCTAAAGACTGGTTTAGGAACCAAAGCACCATAGAACTATTAAGTGAAGCACAGCGAGACGTACTTTTTTCTGAAAACAGTGAAGAACAGCGAGTAGGTAAAAAATCCCAGTCGCCAAAACTCTATGAAAACCGTGAAAAATTGCCAAACGGTTTGAGAGGATATTATGTTCATAGACTTTTAGTAAATGCAGTTGCAATGTGGGCTTCACCACGTTATGCTTGGAATATTTACAAACTTCTTGACGAACTTCACAGACAAGAACGTGGAGAGATGGAAAAGAAACTTCAAGCAAAAGATGAAGTCATTGAATCCAAAGACAAAAGCATACAGAAAAGAATACCGCGTTCAGTACCAAAAGGAAAGGAAAAGAACTATAAGTATATGATTTATACTGAAGAGTTGGAGAATGAAGAAGACAGAGATATGGTTATGTTGCATTTAGTCAGAAGAAACAACAAAAGCTTTTACGACCTTGCTAAAATATATAAATCTGACAGAAACTGGTTCTATCGTGAAAACTTACCGATTTCAATGACACCGAATGAGCAAATAAAAGAAATTGTCAAAAATACTCTTCCTCAAACACACTATGACATCAAAGGTTGCACAATACTTACCTTCAAAGAAGACTTACCATTACTGAAGGAAAAAATAACAGAATATTTCGATAACTTCAAAGAGGAAGAATGAAGTCACGACAACATTAACGAAGAAGTCACGACAACATTAACGAAGAGAGAATGAGGTGAAAAAACAGGTGAAATCTCACCTCTTCACCAAAAATATATTTTTGGTTAAATAGCTTCAGGGTCAATTTCTTCAACCATTTCACTTCCTTCGTCAATGTCAATAGAAGCTTCTTCAACCTTTGGTAAGAACTTTTGTATAACATCTTTGTTCGTTATTGTCTTCAGAGATGAAGGATAATATTTCACATTTATTTCACCCTTCTTATATTCTTTCTGTTCGGAAAGATTCATAGCAATACTGAAGAAGTCAATGTTGGAGTTCTTTATAACAGTATAATGAGTATCTTTGACATTCACGAAGAAACCCTTTTGTTTCAAAACTACTGCTAACTCTTGTGAAGTATAACGTTTGCGGTCAATGACAATAGCTAATGGTCTGACATACTGACCGAACTTAGATTCTTTCACAAACTTCTTGTTAAAGATAACATTAACGTTTGAAGCATTATTGAACTCATTCTTGATGGCAGTAGCGAGAGCATTGTATGAAAAGAACTTGCAATCTTGCATGTGTTTCATTAAAATAAAAATTTAAATTATTTTGAAAAATAACTTAAAAAAATCTAATCTAATTTTTTCAAAAAATATTTTTTTATTTCCTACTAAAGATGTATCGGAAGTTGTCTAAGTTAGAACACTCGGAAATAAAACAACTTCTTACAGAAGCTAATATAGATGTTGCAAAACATTACGCGACAAACAAAAAAGCACTCGCTGACTTCATTAAAGACTACAATGGTGCAATAAGTTATGATAGAATTCATGAGTTCATAAAGCCGCAACGCGGCGAGGACGAAGTCCATGCAAGAGCATTTCCTTTAAATGACATTGCTATTGACTTATATCATAGACGTTCAGTACCTCATGAAGTAAGAAGAGAAATGTTTGACATAACAAATGCGAACGTTGGTCATACTCGTAAAGCTCTTTCGCATGATGTTCGTCAAGAGATGTTTGACATAACAAATGCAAACGTTGGTGAAACAAGAAGAAGAGACGACACACTGAAACAACAGAGAAGAGAGATGTTTAAAAGTGCTATAGAACAAGTTCGCAAAGCTAACGATGTCATTCGTTCCATTGACGACAAACCAAAAGAAGGTGAGAGATGGTTAAAGAAAGATGAAGAGAATAGGAAGAGAATGTGAAGTCAGGCAATAGACTCATTGACTTTAACATCGAAGCTTTAGATGAACCAAAACAGAGAATATTTACACAAACATTTCGGTAAGGTTTTCATGAGACTCTTAGAGAAAATTAAAATAAACTCGCAACAAAGATGGATGGTATGTTATAAACTTGGTGGAAAGTATGAATGTTCTACGTTAAACCTCAATAATATTGGAACATTACTACATCAGCTCTTGAAGGAGAACTTTATATCAGAGATAGAAGCAAATGCTGCAGGTATTGTTGAAATGCACTATGACTTCTTCTTGACAAACATAAAGAATCTTACTGAAATAAAGATGTATGATTTAACAGAATATGAAGGCTTAACGATGTCAGATGTAAAGAAAGGCAAACCAAAAAAGAGACCATATAGAGATGAAAGCACACTGACAAATGACCAGAAAGCCATTTTGGAAGCTCTTAAGCAAACAGGAAACCCAGCACTTATAGAAAGCTTTTGGAAAGATAATGGTGAAAGAAGTTTTATAAGAAGAGAAGCGGTCAGTTATGGAAGTATCTTTGCACATTACCTATAAATCTTGAACGCTACCAAATCTTCAATGAACTGAACAAAAGAACTGCAATACTTATGACAGAGGACAATTGTTTCGTTTATGCTTGCATTCAGGCTGGAGTAAATGAAGAAACTATTGACCACATGAGAGAAGTCATTCGTGTTAGAGACTTTCCTCAAAGTAAAGTACAAGAAATTTCTGACGCAACAGGTATAGCATTTAATGTTACCATTGGTTATTTCAATGACTCAAGACATAATGAAATAAAGAGATATATACCAAAAGAATGCGAAACTGTTAGAACTATTGACTTACTTCTTGTTGAAGACCACTACATGCTAAATGAAAGACTTCCAATGACAACATACTTCATTCGAAACTATAAAGAAATTCTCAAAGCTTGTGGTGGAATGAACATTGAGAAACAGATGAAGATTTATACAAAGAGAGAAGATAAATATGTAGTTCGTTATGATAGAACAACACCGTTATGGGATGTTATGAAAACATTGTGGGAGTGCAAATATTTCGAACCTATTTCTTATGGAGAACTTTTCACATATACTACTGACTTATATAAACAGAACCTTGCACCATTTAAAGATTTGACATATGCTCCAAAGTATTGTGTACAACTGAAGAAGAAAGCAGAGTCAAAAGAAGTAAATAAAGCTAAATGTAAATTCATTCCTGAGCACGTTTTCTTTGCTGACTTTGAGTGTAGTACGGATGGCTTTCATAAAGCTTTTAACATCTGTTATGACAGTGAAGATGGTTCAGTGAGTGAAAGCATTTGGGGTCAAAACTGTGCAACAGAATTTTTGGAAAGACTCCCTGACAAGAGTTTAATATATTTTCACAACCTCAGTTATGACATAAACTTCATCTTAAGACACATGACAGAAGTGAAAGGAACTCCCATCATTAAAGGTTCACGAACAATGCAAATAACTGGTTTATATAAAGGACGGGCAATTATTATAAAAGACTCTTACAGTGTTATAAATAAGAAGCTTAAACTATTTCCTGCTATGTTTAACTTACAAACAGGACCGAAAGAAGTATTTCCATATAACTACTACAGCAGTGTTTTGTTAGCAAATGACAACAGAACTGGTGTCATTTCTGAAGCATGTAAGTTTATCCGGGATGCAGATACATTTATGAAAAACATAGATTCCATCAAAGGTTGCAGAATAGATGAGAACCACTTCGACTTAGAAAAATATAGCACGTTTTACTGCAAACAAGATGTAAGAATTTTAAGAGA